GAGGTGCCGAGCCCATTAAGCGCCGACTGTATACCGCCCCCACACACATACCGCGCGCGCGCACACACACACACTCCCGCAGAAACTGAGGCGAGCAGGCAAAAGACAGGGTCCTGCCGCCGAACGGCGCGAGGCGGGGCTCGAACCCGACGGCGGCGCGGGTTCCGCCACACGGCCGCTTGTTAGCCGCCGAGGCCCGGCCCGGCTCGCACGGACAGAGTTTCACAAAGAAAGTCTCCCGGCCCGCGCCCCTAACGCACTCACCGGCGCCGGCGGCGACTCGGGCTCCCGCCGCCTACGGCTCCGTGCTGGGGTCGGCCCCGGGGTTGGCTCGAGCGCCGGCGGCGGCGACTGCTCCATCCCCGCGGGGCCCGGGCCGCGTCCGCCTCGAGCTAACGGTCCCGCCAGCTAGGCGCGCGCGCCGGCTCCGCGCGCCATGTTCCCGTGCCCCGCCTCGTGCCCTCGCAGCCGGCCGCTATTCCCGGAGTTGCACCCACCCCCTCCGCACCCGTCCTGCCCCGCTGGAGCGCTCGCCGTTCTGGGCTCGTCGCCGCCTCCTGCCGTGCTGCGGACGACCCCAAGCCAGGTCCCTTTGCCCCTTCCCAATACTGCTCCTTTTTTTTCACTCCTACGCCGGCTTGGGGCGAGGATCTGGGCCAGGAGGGAATTACCCCCAAAAAGTGCTGGGGAAAAGGTCACCGCTAAGATAATGAGATCCCCGTCGTGGAGGTGTGCAAGCACGTGCCTGAGCCTAAGTGGCACAGTGAAGGCCCATGTCCCTGGGAGAGCCAGACTCAATGGAGACCCTGAGTTCGAGTTGCACATCTCCACTAACCTTTGCCTGATTAAGGTCAGGTATGTGGAGGTCTGTTTCTCCTTAATCAGGAAGGTCCAACAACTAAGGAATATTGAGAGGACTTAATGAAACAATCCAAATAAAGTGTCAACACCGCGCCTAGGCATTACCAAGTGATAATCTGGTGACAAGACCTCTTAAATCGTTTTATTTAATGGTTAATAAACAAGGGCTCTTGAGAAGGGAAATCTCCATTCAAGTCTTGCCTCCACCTCTTGCAAACTGGGAAACCTTGAACAGGTCACTTGACGGAGCCAGAGACCCTTCATTTTTAAAGCTGCAAAGGGGTGAATGGCACTAATACCTCAAGGGTTGAGATGAGCTTTCAGGAGATGATGCACATAGGTCCCTGAGGACAGGGCCCTGGGAGGCACCAAGCTCTCCAAGCTTCACTGGTATAACTCCAGCCCTATCCTTCCAAGACTCCTAAAAGTTTAATGAAAGGGGCTCTGCTCCCAAACCCTGTGGTATAATTTGCTGGGAGGGGTTCACTCAACCTTGGGGCTGGAAGGACTGTTACTTCCCACATCTTTGCTTTCCATTCTCTGCCCCAAACCTCTCTGAAAACCCTCAAGTTGGCAGAAAAACAGGAGCAGAGAATGTTTTCCCTACTGGAAAACAGGAGTCTCCAAGGGTCTCTTGGAATTTGTAAATGGTTGGACTTATTAGTCTGGCCTTTTCCAGATACAAGTGACAAGAGAAAAAAAAAAAAAACTCAAGCTGGAATAAAACAAAAAAGGGAACATTGAAAAGTCCTGGGGTGGTCCTCACTTCAGGCATCGCGGGATCCAAGTGTTTAAACAATCACCTGTCACCTGTCGTTCTCCAATCTCTCTTTGGGTTCTGCTTCCTGTGTGTTAACTTCATTCTCATGCGGTTTTCTCCCCATAGTGTCCCAAGCAGCTCCTAGCTCATATCTGCCAGGAAAGCAGGAGCTGATTCCCAATAGTTCCAGGCAGTCTCAGGGGTGACTTTCACTGTACCCATTTGGGTCACTGTCCTTGCCTGAGCCAATCACAGCAAGATTAGCCAGACCTGGCCATATGAAGCCCCTCTAGGAATGGGGTGAGGTCAACACCTCCCAAAGGACATGGGGTAAGGACAAGTGGGAGGAGGTATGCCTCCCCCAGAAAAATAGGAATGCAAGTTACAAGAGACATTAGGTACAGGACGGGCACAAGTAAGAGCTGTCCATTGCACCATCATCTAGGCACACAGCAAGTTCTCCATGGAGCAACATACCTGTTCTTCATAACAGAGTGGCAGATACTTCAGCCACTCGGAAGTACCCCTCCACCTCTGCTCTCACCACCCACCCCAGGCCTGGCATGTCCCAAATCTGCAGTATCAAAGGCATCTCAATTACCCACCCATCTTGTGTGCCCATCCCCCAAAAGCTGAACATATGTTACTTCCCTGCTCAAGAACTTTCTATGGCTCCCTCTACTTATGTGGCCCTCCCACCTTTAATGTTGGAAGCCAACATTGATGGATGGATCCCTTACCTCATGCCAGGCACTTTAAATGGACCATTTATTCTTCACAAACACCACATGAGGTTGGTACTCATTGCACCCATTTTACAGATAAGGAAATAAAAGCTCAGTAATTTGAATTTGCCCAAAGCCAAAGTCAGAGAAATGCAGAGAGCTCAGATTAACACAATATTGCTCCTACCCCTGTTGCATCCTTTTGTTCCATCTCCATTTGCTCATGTTTCAAAATCCTGTGCCTACCTCCAGCTTGGTGGCCAGTGGGAGCAGGTTTACCAGGGAAAGAGCCTCTAGGGACCCTCTCAGCTTCCATAGTAGGGGTCAGACAGGCAGACACTTAGCTTTACTGTCTCCCTGTCCCCACATCTCTTCATGAGATAGAGGGGGGAAAAAATCCCCCAAAAGAAAAGTGGAATGAGATTATAAAAAGTGCATGCTGAGTGGCCCCACATCAGCAGCTGAGATCCCCACATTGGTGAGATTAGTTTCTTATGGCTGTTCTAACAAATTACCACAAACTGGGTAGCTTAAAACAACACAAATGTATTCTCTTATAATTTTGTAGGTCAGGGGCCTGAAATCGGTTTTACTTGGCTAAAGTCAAGGTGTAAAGGAGGGGTTCTGTCAGAAGGCTCTCAGGGGACAATCCGTTTCCTTTTCTTCAGCGCCTAGGGGCTGCCTATATTCCTTTGCTTGTTGCTTCTTCTTCGATTTTCCAAATGCCATCACTCCATCTCTTCCGACTCTGACACCTCCTGTGTCCCTCTTAAAAAGAACATTGTAATGACATTGGGCCCACCCATATAAAACAGAATAATCTTCCCACTTCAAGGTCCTTAACTGCAGTCTCTTTTGCCATGAAAAGGAATATATTCGTAAATTCTGAAGATTAGGATGAGGACGTCTTTGGGGGCATTATTCAGCCTACCATGATAGGTATAATCAGAAGGAGCTAATACAAAGTGTTTTGGAAACACAAGTGTTGGCTGACTGTCCCATGAGGAAAAAAATGCCCTAAGAAACCACAGCCTTCACATTAAATATTCAAATGAGCTAAAACCCATCTAACTTGGCAATCTCAGCCGCATTCTTTTAAATATGAAAACCACCTAAATCCCCATCTAGCCCCCCAGCACCAGGCTAGCCAAGCCCCAGAATGCTTGTACACCCTTCTAATGCAAATTGCCAACCACTATCCCATTGCCTGGGGCAACAGCTGTGTGCCCCTGACCCTGCCCTGGCTCACCAGTGGCATCTGAACTAAGGCATTCAATTTATGGCATGGTCAGGGAGCTACAATGTGGCCTAGAAACAACAAGCCAGTTACAAGAGAAGCAAAATCAGTGGGTCAGAGACAAGAGGAGCCAGCCATTAGAACTGCCTGGGCTCCTGATGGTCCCCAGGCCCAGCCATCTGCAACCTTGAAACAAATCCTTTTCCTTGCAACTAACACGTCCAAACTTCCAGATCATGGGGCTGTATCCACTCATAATTTAAAACACTAGCATTCAGGGCCGGCCGAGTGGCGCGTTGGTTAAGAGTTGGCTTGGGACACCAGCTCTGAGCAGCAGGACCCCAGTTCAGATCCCACATGAGGGCCAGTGATACTGCGCCCTCTACAGCTAAGATGGTGAACAACAGCCCGACCTGAAGCTGGGCTGCCACAATGGCGTAGGGTGCAGTGAAGTTGCAGTGGGCTGCCATAAGCTACTGTGAGTAGCTGGCAGCCAGGGTGAGCGGCCGGCAGCCACTGTGAGCTGCCAAGAGCCGCCGTGAGCGGCCGTTCCGTGGCCAGCAACCGATCTGCCTCACCCAGGGCAATGATAATACCAACATGGGCCAGTGAAGTGACGTCCTCCACAACTAGAGTGAAGAACAAAAGGACAGCACTTTGTCTGTTCTCCTTCCCCAATTCCCCAATGCTGTTCCCATCCCCCAATGCCCCCCAAAAAAAATCTTATTTAAGATTTTAATAAAATCTTAAAAAAAAAACACCACCAGCATTCACAATTTGGACATCAGTCTCTTATGAGTTTTGTCAGTGCGAGTCAACATCCCTAAGTCTAATTAAATATAAGGCTGAGGAACATTAGAGTCAGAAAAACCTGGGTCAGGTCCCAGCTCTGCTACTTATTAGCTGTCTAACACTGGATAAAACACCTTACTCCTTCAGCCTGGGTTCCTCAACTAGTACATGAGGGCAGTCAGAGGACCTAGCCCCACAGAAGCACTTTTGAGGACTAGACAACACCAAGGGAGGGGCTTTACACAGGGCCTCCTTGGTCATTGTTGGGTCTACATGACATGCTCACATGCCTTATCTGTATTTCCAAAATCCAAACGCCTCTGAAAACTGAGTCATCCAAAACTCATCTGACAGAAAAGACTGAAATGATCGATATGACTTAAAAGTCTTCTCTATCCCTTTTACTATGACTATCTGCTGCAGAAATATTAATGTGTTTGGTTACAGGACTCCACTGGGTATTACACATAACACAGTCGATATGCAATGTCCCTTTCCTAAAATCAGGAAAATATTAAATTTTACAACTTATCTGGACTTATGGTTTCAGGGACTCTGGACTTCTATCTTTTAAAATAATTTTTATTGTGGTAAAATACACAAAACATAAAATTTTACATCTTCACCATTTTTTTAATGCAGTACACCATACAGTGTCATTAAGTACATTCACATTGCTGTGCAACCTTCACCATGATCCATCTTAATAACTCTTTATCTTAGAAAACAGAAAATCTATCCATTAAGTCACAATTACCCCTGCCCCCCAGTTCCTGACAACCACCATTCTACTTTGTCTCTACGATACCACATGTAAGTGGAATCACATACTATTTGGCTTATTTCCCTGAGCATAACGGTGGACCTGTATCTTTATGAGGGTGAGAATAAGAATTTAAAACAGGCTCATGGTATACGTACCAAGGTACCTACTGTCTCATGACTTTGACAGTCAGCCAATTTCTTCAAACTCCACCCCAGTCTCACCAGGCCCCTTTCTAAGGAGCCTTTAGAATGTGTAGGCAGCTTGCACAGGCTAAGACCAAGGGACACCTCCTGAGGAAACCTGCCTGGTGGGAGCCAAGGTAGGGCACTAGACAAAAGGCACATGATTTCAAATGCATACACAAAAGGGCATGTAATAAAGAGGGGATCAGCAAGCCAAAGTACAAAGCCCAGTTTCCATTAGGTGTCTGTGTACTGACAACTGCTGAAAGGCAACTGTTCTCATAATTAAAATACAAATGCTAAAAAACAAATATAAAAGAAATTGCAGCACAATGGTAAACAAGGTATATTTCTTTCATGTTCCGAACCACTGTTCATGAGACAGCAGCACATACAGCCAGGCGCTTTGTGGTGTCAGCGTCTTCCAGTTCCCCTTCAAGGAGTCGCTTTCGACTCGTAGAAGGCTGGAGAAAATGGAAAAGGGAGAAATGGTAAGACACACACACACACACACACACACACAAAAAAAAAAACCACTGGCTTCTTCAAAATTATCAGTTTCTCAGGATGCCCCAGGTACACTTAGAGCACTTCACGTGAAACTTCTAGTACCAAGCATTACAGGTTGTTCTCACTGACATCTGAATTCCCACAACGCCGCCCCCTCGCCACAGACTCAGACATGCTTATCAAACTGACCTTTCTCTCCCCTCTGACTTCCAATCATTCAATGGTGTATTTTGAAAGGAAGCACATAACCAGCCCCATCTTGGTCATCTCCTAAATTATGATGTTTAAAGAGATGATGACACCTCTCATTGGGAGCCCCAAGTCTTGCTCTTTTGTGGAAAGACAGGTTTTTTTGTATCTTTGTTTTCCCATTTATAACATTGCGAGGGGGCAGTGGGAAGAGGAGTGTTATCATTGACCAAAAGAAGGCAGGACAGAAATGAACAGATATGAACTTATACTTAAAGAACTTTAGAGGCATAAAACCATAATCAATAAATCATTTTTCAACAAATCTAAATTTGAGCTTCTAATATAGTCTTTCAGTCTTGCCTTACAGGAGACTTCTTGAATGACAATCCCTAGCTCTGCTTCTCGTAATGCATTAAACATTCTTCTCGATTAAATCTCCTAAGGGTGCTAGAGCAGATCAAGCTGAAAGAAAGTATCTACTACATTAAAAAACCTGTTAAGCAATTGCTATTAAAGAGACTATTCAAACTCATCATTCTTGCTCATCAGCTCTTAAAACTTGGCCTGTATTTAACAACCAGCATCTGGGATACCTGGGCTGGGGCCTGGGTTACAGCCGTTGACTTGTTTTCTTCACAAAGCAAATTTTGAAATTTTCTCTTCATGTCCTCATCCTGTAAAGAAATAAAAAACATAAGTAAGCTGTGTTTGAGGGAAAGCTCCTGGAAAGATGGAGCTAGGGTACACCTAGAAACAGGGACGTGGGCAAAGATGTCCCGTCTGTTGACCAAGTGGCATGCCCTTACTGAAGCTTTGGGAGGAAAAGGCCCACCTGCCTTCCCAGAGTCACCTAACCAGCAGTCAGGGCTCAGTCAACACTGGCTGAATCAAAACCACGTGCCTAAGAGCTCGCAATGGGTCACAGAACCACAGACCTTAGCAGAGAAAAACTTTCAGAACTAGTACCCCAGGTCCTGACAGAGATGGCAATCAGGAGGCCAGAGGCTGGGGTTGGCTCAGTCCTCTGAGGGCTGACTCCATGCAACTCCCGAATCTCTCCAGGAGCAGGAGGTCCCCCCTTCCCTGCCAACAATGAGGCCAGCTACTGGGGCCATTCTAACCAACCAACCCAGCACCCTAGGAAAATTCGCCCAGCAAGTGCTGTACAAGACACCAGAAGGACTTCAAGAACGCAATATCCCAGAGCTTGGGTCTAATGAAAAATGAAGATGAGTGAACAGGACATAGCATTATAGGCGTTTCTTGCTCCTGGAAGGGGGAGTGTGGGGTAGGGGCTAAGGGGTGTACTCAAAAGAACTCCCACCTCACCCCCCTGGCTGCTCAGTTCTGCAGGACTCAAGGATTTGCATCTGCGAGCCCTGAGAGGTGAGCCGGTGCGGCTCTCCCCACTTTCAGAAAGGTGAAACATCCATGTCTAAGGATTGTGGGCTTTGGAGCCAGCTGGAAGCCCAGCTCAGCCACTATAAGTAGCGTCTGCAGAACACAGACCCAGAGCCCCATGTACTTTCCCACCCAACCCCCCTTCCATTCCTCTCACTAGGTCAAGTGTACCATGGTGGGTGGGAGGAGAGGACCTAGGAGTGAAGGCATCCAACATTCAACAATTTGATGGCTACAGAAAAATTACAGTGCTTGAGGATGATCCACTGCTCTGTCTAGTAGCTAGAATCACCTGCTTCCATCCATCACTCTGTTTATTGCATCACTCAGAGTGGCTCCCACACTACCCATTTTGATACTGCCAAGTTCATCTGGATTTCACTTTGCACTCTCCTTTAGGGTCACACTCTCAAAGGTGCATCCATTATTTCCTCTATCTGCTCACAGCTTCCACTGGGAATACCTCCTGGCCTTCCTGGCCATCCACTTCACCCACCTTCCTCATTCACTCTGTGAACAATAGTTCCCAAGCACCCCCTAGATGCCAGGCACTATAATCGGCACAGTGGCCTCCATTTAAGAGGGACTCAATCAATGTTGAAAATGCTGTCCTCCTTGGTTAGGGACTTAATTTGGAGACAGGGCCTTTACAGAGGTGAAATGAGGTTGTCAGGGTGGGGCCCCAATCCAATATGACTGGTGTCCTCATAAGAATAGAAAAGACACCAGGAATGTGAACACACAGAGAACTGACCATGTGAGACAGAAAGAAAGCAGCCACCTGGCGAGGCAAGGAGAGAGGCCTCAGGGGAAACCAAATCTGCCGACACCTTGAAGTTGGGCTTCTAGCCTCCAGAACTGAGAAAATAAATTTCTGTTGTTAAAGCCACCCAGTCAGTGGTATTTTGTGGTGGCAGCCCTAACAAACTAATATGCCCATCCCATCCCCAGGCAAATCTGTCTTTAGACACTCTTCACACCATATGCACCTGTGGGTACCCAAAGCCCTGTGCACAGTGGCCTCCTCTCATCCTAGGGATCTGCAATACTCTGCACCTCCCCCTAGTACCACATGTATCACACTGCTCTGTGGAGACTGTGGTCAGAGTTGGACCCACCCAGATTGTCAGCTCCTCACGGCAAGGATGTATTCTTATTCGTCTTCGCATCCATAGTGCCTAAGAGTGCTTGACACACAAGATCATTCATTAAAAAAATGAATGCACGAAGAAACGAAACCACGCTGGAACACCCCTCAAGAGGCAGCTCTTCTGTGCAGCCCAACAGGGTTGACCACAAGCCTATTTAGGCCTGTATTTAAAACAAGTCATCAATCAGCAATAACATGAAAAAAGAGCTCTTTATCTTGTCATAACACAGGTAGCAATGTGTATCTGTAAGTACCCTCTCTTTGACATGTCCACAATCTATTAAAAAATATTAAATTGTAGTATGCCTGGGGCAGCCAGTTAGCTCAGATGGTTAGAGCACAGGCTCTTAACACCCAGGCTGCCGGTTCAATTCCCACATGGGCCAGTGAGCTGCACCGTCCACACCTACATTGAAAACAATGGCTTGACTTGGAGCTGATGGGTCCTGGAAAAACACAGTTCCCCAATAATGTTTAAAAAAAAACTAAAAAACTAAAAAATCGTAATATGACTCAAAAACAAGCTGTAAGGAATCATCTATTTCAGGAAGTGAACATGAGGCAAAAATGGATACAAGGGATGCTCCCTAAACTGGGCACTCTGTTAATGACAAAACAGAGACTGGAACTCACATTCCCAATGCTCAGTCCAGTGCTAGACCCACAAAACCATTTGGTTTCTTCAGGAACATCAAATTTTCCCAGAATAAAACCTACACTAACGCTAGCAGATGATTTATGTGGGCAAGCTGCATCTTTGTCCTCATTCAGTGTTCACTCTGAGAACTTCTGCTGCAAAAACAAACTGTGGACAAAAAAGTATTCAAATGAGACCCCTGTGGCCAGGTTGAACTTCACCTTTCCCTCAGTTGTGAATAACAGTTTTCTTTTGAGACAAAAAGTACAAGAAAAATAGGCTATGCTTGTTCGCAAATTTCAGGCAGATGCAAACCTTGTTCCCATGCCTAACTGGCCAGCTCTGTTTTTTTTTTCAAGACTCACAGTTCCTCTACCTCCACATCTGGCCCCCCCTAGTTTCCTTATTAGGAACTAATAAAAAGAGCCAAGAGCTATGTTTTTCTTTTTCATCAAAATTAAATCCCCACATGCAAAGACACCCTTTGTTTCTGAATCCCCTTTCCCCAGAGTCCTGCTGTTTCAAATCTGTGTGGTCTATTAAGTCCTAAATCATCTGACAGATTTCTTCTGGGGGGACTGCTGTTTCCAGGACAACATCCCAAACACTAATGTCTACTTTTTTTTTCATTTAAGGATTTGTTATTCTCAACCTGAGCTGACCTGAGCCCAACTGTTAGGTGTGGAGGGTTGGAAGAGAGAAAGAATGGGGACAGTCCTGAGACTGAATGGTCTGAGGAGCTCCTAGACCAGTAATCCCCAGGACGCTTGAGTCTCTTGCTCAAGCTACCCGATTAAGCTCCCCCATCCCCACAAAAAACATAGACCAAATAAAAGTTAATAGAAAGGGGTATGGGGCCAGTCAAGTGGCTCAGTTGGTTAAGAGCGCGAGCCCTGAGCAACAGCGTTGCCAGTTAGATTCCCACATGGGCCAGTGAGCTGCGCCCGAGCTGAGCTGCAGCTGAGCTGTCAATAGGTGGCAGGATGGCTCAGCTGTGAAAGCACGTGCTCCTAACAACAAGGTTGCTGGTTTGACTCCCACATGCGATGGTGGGCTATGCCCACCCGCAAATAAGATTAAACATGGCACCTTGAGTTGAGCTGCTGACGGGCAGCCAGATGGCAACTGGACTTGGAGCTGCGCTAGCTGCACCCTCCACAACTAAGATTGAAGGACAACAGCTTGGCTGTTCCCCTACCCCAATTTTCCAATAAAATCTTTTAAAAAGGGGGGAGGTATGGCTGTGTTGAATGGAACGGTACTTAACAGAAGACCTGAGATCTATCAGAAAACTTGCCTGATGCTACAGCTAATTCCTAAACCACAGATTAGCCCAGCAAACCTACAAATGACTTCCGACTCTGGCAACAAGAATAAGGTCAGTGCATAATCTAATGGCAGCCACAACCCCCAGCAGGAACACAGAGGTAATGCAGATTCAAAAGGCACAGGTGACAGTCTGCACTAACAGCATGCTTAACATGAACAAGAAGTGGGACCCTTTATACATTTGGGCTTAAGAAATAGTTGGATTTCCCCCCAGGGAAGCTGCCCTCTTCCTCCTACCCACTTTCCTGATTTAAAGTTAAAGATGGCTACAATGCAGCCCATCCCACCTGTTTGGGTGGGAAGTTTGAGGGAAGAGTGGAGCACAGTTGGGGGTGAAGGTCTGGAGTTAGAGCAACCTCTGAAAGGAACACAGCCCATCTGCAGACTCAGGGAAGCCAAGTGGAACCAGGACAGGCCATAAGTGAGCTTGTCCATCCAAGAGCTACGAGTCAAGTTGAAAGACTACACTAAACACACACAAAGACACACGCACACCCACAACCATACACACACATATACACACCACACAAACCTAAAGCTCAATCTAAAACAGTTTCATTAAAAGGACCCAACAAAGCAAACGTGTTTCAATCCTCCTCCTCATCTAGTCTCACAGGCACAATACACTGTCTATGTATTTTATGCCAGCCCCATACCCACCTGCAGCCACGAGTGTCCTAAAGCTTCTTCTGTTGTAAAACGCACCTTTGGATCCACTATCAACAACTTCTTGACGAGGTCCAGTGCTAAAGCAATAAGATAATTTGGCAAATCACAGTGAGAAGTAAAAATACATTCAATCTCAAAATTAAAACATGCCAGAATCACAGGCCCAACATCCAGAAAGAGGAGAGAGGGGCTGCAGTCATCATGGAGTCAGCAGGTACGGTGGGCAGGGCCCCTAAACCTCCTCACTCTGTAATCATCAGAGTGCTGTGAGAACACCAGAATGACCACAATACATAGTCACCATCTCTCCCTGCTCGGACACCACAACCTCGTAGCTCTCTGTCCTTTCTCTCATTGCTGGACTCAAGTTCAAACTAATTAAAAGTTGAACTTCTGCCCAGTTCTAAGACACTCAAGATGCTGAAGCAACTCTCCCCCAGACCCACAGATTGATGATGAGAGTTCCTCCACCAGAGAAAGGCTCTTGAAACTGCAGGCTTCGCAGAAATAAAGCTTGACAGCCAGCAACAAGTGGAGGCTGGCTTGTGTATGGCAACAATGTTATTCCTTAGACATTCTGGCATTTAACACAATCATCTATGTTACATTATTTGACATTTAGTTGTAGTTTTAGTTTTCTACATTCTCTTTTGAGAATTACAAAGTTGCACTTTCAACTTCTTAAATACAAAGAAGCTAATTACATTTAGCTCTTAATGCTTACTTACTCAAAGGAAACCTTGTAACTAAAAAGTTACTTACTATTTCGCATACTTAAATAGGCACCAGGGACTTGTGAATGTTACACTTAATCCTCACAAAAATACTTTAAGGTATAAGGTTTATTGTGCCTCCTTTACAAATAAAGACAATGGAGGCTCAAAGAGGTAAGTAACTTGCCTAAGGTCACAAAGCTAGGAAGTAGCTGACCCAGGACTTCAGTCAAGACCTGCCTGGCTCTGGAGCCTGTGCTCTTAACACCTTCCTTTGCCTCTCAAATGGTGCAAAACAGAAAATAAGAACAGAATCAACAGGAGCAAACATCACAGGATTTGAAAAGGAAGTCCCACCACAGCACACACACATTTCAGCAAACCATAAATGTTTAACCCTTTCGTATCCATACCCTTCTCTGAGACCTCTGCCCAGACTTCAGGAATGAAGTTGTATTTTCCACTGGTGATCTGATCCTTCAGTGACACTTGAGTCTTATGCTCAGAGAAAGGTGGATACCCACTAAGGCTTAATATCGGTAGAGAGAGAAAGGAAAAGAAATCAAGTGGCATTCTCAGTGGCATTTGGATATCAAGATTTCTTTTTCAGCACAATGAAAAATTAGGTTTTTCTTTACATCAATGGTCAAAAAAAACAAAACAAAACAAACAAACAAAAAAAGACCTAAATTCAATACAAGCTCTCTACCTGGACACATTTCTGATTTCACCTAATTACCTCTCACCAGACTCTGAAGCAATGAAAACTTTTTCTTACCAAATAAAAAGAATAACTCCTAAGCTCCAGCAATCCACAGCTCGGTTATATCCGGCAGTCCCAAAGGACTCAAGAACCTCAGGAGCCAGGTAGGTGGGGGTACCACATAAGGTTTTCATGAGAGAGGTCTCCCCCAAAATCTTGGACTGCCCAAAATCAGTAATCTAAAATTAAAGACAAAAGGGAATCATTTTTAATGCTATCATACAATAAAAAGATTAATATAGCCCACAAGTCCCAAAAGACATGCAGTCGGTATCAGTTTCTATCCTACAGCTCATGCCTGCTGTTAATCTGGAATCTACAAATTCATGTCTAAATTAAGATAATTCTAAACTTTACAAGTTGTTTAGTTTTGCGTAAAATTCCTGAGCCAAAAGAAACTCAAGGCCCAGGTTTTTCTCCAACTTACTTGTGTTCTCTGTGACCTTTTAAAAGGTTTATAATCCTTGTCAGAGACACTCCAGGATTCTAATTAGTTATGCGTGGCTCTTAGACCCCAGTTTCTCAACCATGGCTGCACACGCCTGAGGAGCTTGGAAAAAACACTTACACCTGGGTGTCATGATTATTTTTTAATCAAAAAAAATTTTTTTTAATCAACAGGAGATTCTAAAGCAGTTCTCAACCTTCCTAATGCCGCGACCCCTTAATACAGTTCCTCATGTTGTGGTGACCCCC